GAAGGTGAGGCCTGTAGGGGGTGGTGGGGATGGTTTGAAGATATTTAAGAGACATGTATAGAGGAAAAGATTAAGTGAAATGGCTGAATTGGGACAGTGTGATGCGACAGATGCGTCAGTAATTAGCTTGGACGAATCGGAGCTGTCAGCGATGCTGGAGGAGTTCTTCCACAACGATGAGTTGGTGACGAAGACAGTCGGTGGAGGAAAATCATGTGTAGGAGATGTAGCTACGGAAAGGATAGCAGTACCTGTGGCTAGTACATCGCGGACGCCGGTAGGGGGCGGTAAATCTGTAAGTATGAAGCCTAAGAAGCGGACATACAATAGAAGAGTGTCGGGCGGTCCGTTGGATTATTCAAAGCTGGTGGAGCAGGTGCGAGAAGCAGTGAAGACATTTCAACGGGGGAAGCGAAAAAGTGAAAAAAGAACCATGACATGAAGGACGCTTCAGTTTTGAAACAAATAAAGCGGAAAGAGAAAGAGTTGGAGGATCTGAAAAAAAGTCGTGAAAGCAGCTGTAGAATGATGATGGAAGGTAGAAAGCGAGTGGAAGAGGTGGAGCAGAAGTTAAATGAATTACAAACACAATTGTTGAACATATTTAATTAATATTGTAAATATAGTAACATAAAATAAAAGATTGTATTATAAGATGATTTTATTTAATAATTTTCTCTTGAAGGAATGATGATGTGTAATTCAGTTATATATATGTGATTGAAGAAATATTTTTGTTTCCAATATTATTGTTCAATGCTTTCAAGATGACTGTATTGTAGATGTATGGAAAAATAAGATGTTACGATGTTGGCATCGTATTGTGCCTGAGCAATTCTGTCTGCCCGTCGGAACGTATGACGCGATTTGTTACGTGGGCCAAAATGGCACACGTGCCTATATAAGGGCGCCCATTTAGCGCCTCAAGTCTTCTTTTTGGTACATCTCAGTTTTAATTACAGTAATTTGGTACGGTCCAATAAAAACGTGATGAAGTGCTAAGTGGCAAGTGATATTGTTTGTGAATTTTTCTTAATAAATAAATGTAAAAGTCACAATCACTGGTGTTGACGAGTCGACCTGCATTGATGCAGATAATTNAAATGTGTTAGTTACAATATTATTAAAAAAGTTACCTGAAGCAAGCGAACTCAGAGAGCCTGCTGTACTGCCACCTCCTTCATAAGCGTAATTGCGCAAATCATCAAATGGTGGTGCATTGAGGTCACCATCAGCTCTTCTTTTATGCTCGTCAATGAAAACTCCAACATTGGGTTCCTGACCTACACCTAAGATTGGCGGTGGATCTATTGAAGGGACAGAGTTTATGTAAAAAAAAAAAAAAAAAAAAAAAAAAAATCGTAGAGCATCACTTCATAAGAAGGATCTTGCGGTTTATAATGGATCTTTCTCGTGTATCCATTGTCCTTTCACCATTCCGACAAACAACCAATTCCATTGTACCCATCACCCGGTTGCAATGCAACATTTGTCAACGTCTTCGTCAAATCTGTAACGTTGCAACAGGGTTCTGTTGTCAAGAATGTATTGATAACACACCTCTACTTTTTTGTCACAGCTGTAGAATGTACAACGTCGATGTTGTGGACTCCTGCTGTCGACCTTGTCGTCAGGGGGTTCACTCATATCTCTGCGAAAAGTCGGGTCTTCTTTATGAGATCGATGATACCCATACACTTTCCTGCCTACTCTGCACTTCAGCAGAACAAAGGCGTCATCACTTTCGCTCCATTATGATGATACCATCCTTGCACTAACTTTTTTCCTAATTACCTTTCCCTTCCCTTTCCTACCAAACTTTCCTTTTCCACACTTTCGACCTTGACACACTTCTTCACATATATACCACTGTAACATGTTGTTTTTATTAAATCTACTTCCACATTACATTTTAGGGGATGTAAGGTCAAATAACACAATAAAACAAATGAAATCAAACGGGACTAACAACTTAACAATATATTTACAAAACTGGAACAATGAAATTAGAAGTGAAAAGAACTGAGAATAAAACTAGAAGACTTAGCAGATGAATTGACTTGAACTGTAGAAAACCGAATTAGGAAGTGTTAATGTTTTGGAAATGAAAATGTTAGGAAAACTATTAGGGCGGAGCTAGAAGCATTTAGATGAAAGTAGGGAACCAATTAGAAGAGAATAAAATCTGGAAATGTGAATATACAAAATACTAAGAAATAGACAGATAGAATGTTAACCCTAAACCGCTGAAGAAACCTATCATTAAAAAGCAATTAAGAAGGGACAATAGTTATTGACATCATGCAGTTAGTACGTGAAGTTGAAATGTTAAAAGGGATTATAGAAAAGTCCAAGTAATAAAGTTATTTGCAGAGAACACAATAGATAGGTACATACACAAAAGATTTGAAATAGAAATATTAAGACAGATATTTACATAATGAGAATAACAGAACAATACAACACAATTTGAATAGAAAATTTGAAAAGATATTTACAAGCAAGAATAATAAAAATAGAAATATATACAGAAATATTTAAACATGATTTGGCGGGCAGGTATGCGCGGCCACAATACCCCCCTGCCAGTGATTGAGATCACGAAACTTGTAGACGATCCGGGAATCGGACACGTCTTCCAGAACGTGTACAACGGGTTGATGGTTGCTTGACAGAATTGCTGTTTGTGGATGGCTGGTTTGATGACGTCACTTCCGTCGATAGGGGTACTGGTTTGACATTATCATCATCGTCCGTCACAACATAGGCTGGTTTAAGTCGGTCAATGGTAACAACCACGTGGCGTCCTCGAACATCAATGGTAAACGTTTTGTCGGATCTTTTTATAACTTTGAAAGGACCTTCGTACGGTTGCTGCAACAATCCCTTAGGTCCACCAAGACGAAGAAAGAAAGGAAAGCTCTTTGAAAATAAATGTTGACCTCCTACCATGATTTGACCCATCTGTAGGACGTAGTTGCTGTATGTATTGACGTAATGTCTGTACGTAGTTGATTGGTGCGTCGTTACATACAGGATTGGTTGGAGCAAAGAATTCTCCAGGTATTCGAATTGGCTCGCCGTAGATCATCTCTGTTGCTGATGATTTTCGGTCATCTTTCCACGCTGTACGAATTCCTAGCATTACTGC